TTTCCCATACTTCTGCTGACTGCCTAATGACTACGTCTGCATTTCCGGTTAATTTTTCTTTCTCATCCCCTTAGAGAAAGGTGAGCTAGACTTGCTACTTTACTCAATGCCAGGAAATGACATCAACACATCCCTACATTCAAATGTCTACTATACTTAATTCTATGTAACTTCAAATCTCTACATTCCTAATTTACCATACAGTAACTAAAATTAATTCACTACACATGCATTCCTTAATTTCATCTGCTCTTCGTTTCTCAAAGTTAATTCCGAAGTATTTAATAGACTTAAAAGTGTGTGAAAAGCCAATGTGATAAACAGGCCTATAAACAATAAAACACGTGACTTATTCTTTCATTCCATGCATATGCCCCTCAGCTAAATTTTAATAAGCCGCATTTCAGCGCCAAAAGAACGATTCATTAAAACATTCGCAAAATATTCCGACCAAACCTAAAATGTTGAAGTTTCTGCACACCTAATCACAATCCTACTGAATTTTCAAACAAATCACTTACCAGCTGGAGGTGGCCGTCTTGAGCTTGCGGACCTCCTTTGTAGCCCACGTGGCCAGCGTCTTCGTCTTTGACACTCGAGAACGTCTTCCTTGGGACAGCAATTCATTTATGGGCTCCACATCTAGTAACGGCAGCATCTTAGCACCAAATGCAGTGCACAAATCACTAAAACATGAAGACAGTAATAGTACTTAGGATACACACATTCATTATCAAAGTAACGTTTCCTCCAACCACGTGACATAATCCAGAACTAAATTTCCTGTCACAGTTCACTGCTGCTAAGTTGCCTTACTGACAAAAGCAAACGTAGAAATCTTCATACTCACCGTTGTGAAAACCTCAAATCTTACATTAACAAAATTACTTCCTTGCTACAATAAAGTTCTCATTATAGACTTTGCTTCTTCCATTACAATTATAACATAAAAAATATTTTGCAATTACCATTTTTGATTACGCGATGTCCTGATTTAACCAGAATCTGCGTGTAATAAATAAAGACAAACCTGATATTATATTCAACAGCTAATAAATACCAATAACTCACCCTACGAGGCCAGCAGAAGCTGCCACATTACTATCCGAGTGATCAGAATCCTGGGCTACAAATGTAACGAACTGCACAATGAATGTGACATGGGGTTCCAGCAACTGTATATCTGGAGTGGGCGCAGTTCCGTCACCTTTCAATCCCTGCACGATACCAGTATATGCCTCCAACACGCCTTCACGCAGCTCATTCAGATAGTCGACCATGTCGTAATCAGTCTGTTAACATAATTCATTATTAAAATCTACGCACACTGCTCCAATTAAAGCTCGGAAAAGTGTACGAACTAGATCAGACGGCAAATTAGATTTAACCTTGCAAACAAATTACTCTTTACCATAAGAAGCTGGAACCAATTACCTCCAGGCATGCTAGAGTCTTTCCCCTGTAAATTAAGCAAATGTAGAAAGAGGGTCAAAAAAGTAGTTACACGCAAAGGGTTATTAAGTGGGGATTAGATGGTGATAAGGGAAGTGAAGTGTCTTAGTCTCAAAGTGATGAAGTGCTTCAGTTCTTTGGGATAAAAGTTTCATGTACTGAGGTCTGACTTTATATTCTACTCTAAAGTATTGTGATTAATTAATGGATGTGTGTTTTTGTATTGTGTGTATGTGTGTCCGTGTAAGGTGGAACGTTTTTGTAGGGGGTGGATGTCTAGTTATGTATGTAGGGTGTTCTATGAAGTGTACTTGTTTGTATTATATATATTTTGTTGTAACTGTGTAGTGAAAGAACCACTACCACCAGGTGAAAACAAAATTGCAGTAAATAAATAATAATAATAATAATTTACCAGTATCAATATAAAACAATCACAATTTAGTGGATTAAAGCAAAGGAAGAAATTCTTCTACAGTGAAACCTCGATGCATCGTTTTCGGCGGGGGTCTGAAATAAAAACGATAGATGCGGGAACGATAGATAGAGGTTTCACTGTAATAAACAAGAATTTTAGACTTTCTAATACGAAGGGACTCGTCCATAAAACAACAGTTACTGAGAACTGCTAAAGAAAGGTTTCTATAAAGAATTAGCTCAGAACAAAGTTACGCAATGCGTATCCATCAATTTTTGGGACAAAAGCAATGAATTAAATGACATGGAGGAAAAAGACAACAGCAATAACAAGCCATTGGCAGTTCCAAAATGACAATTGTTTCGATGTGCTTGTCTATCGAGATATTCTGTCAATAATTATCAGTTTTCAGAACAAAAGTAACATTTAGACTTTACTAAGTAATTAGTAAATATTGCTGACAGAACTTGGAAGAGGAATAGACTGTTTCCCCTTTATGAAACCATTAAAATCAATTTCTTACATTTTTCTACATTAAACTGTTTGCTTAACATTTCAGTCTGGGCATCAGCACAGTGAATCTATGAATCGGTGTAAAATTCTGCCATGTAACACACCTCTCCTTGTCGTAGTGGTGGGGCTTGAGTACCTCAGTGACCCCAAGAGCTATGCTGGCGGTAGCATAGGTACTGGTAGGGCCTCCCTAGGGAGAGGTCAGACTAAGACAGGTACCCTGGTCCTGCAGGTTGGGGGTTGGTCGCAAAGCAAACAACCTTCCACTGTACAAAGGACTGAACGGAAGAGGAGAAGTGAGGAGGCCGTGAACCGGAGAGCCATAGAACAAGGAGAACACACCTCTGAATCACTACCCATATTAGTGTCCACTGTTTTTGTTTAATATGATACATAAAACATTAGTCCCACCCCATTCACCTTTCAATACAGAAACACATTCAATATGAGCTACTGCAACTCTCACTCACCCGATCTAGTTGAGCTTGTGAAGCTTGAACCAACGTCTGCAGAACAACGTCAAAATATTTCTTAAATGCTGGACCAATACTCAGAGCAATATCTCCAAATGCAATGAGGATCTGAGGCTTCACTGACTGATGAACTGTGTTATCCTAGAAAACAAA